CCAAAGAAAGAAATGGTATGAACTAGAATTTATTTAGACACAATACTACTTTTCCTAATAAATAACAATTAATGAAAGAAACAGAATAAATGTCTAGGTAATTTGAGCAGGATTCCTTATTGCTGCCCAAGGGAATGTTCAAATATGAATTATTAATATCCTTTCAGTCTGAGATGAACGAGTTTGCTCACAATAGCAGCCAAATTTCAAATATTTTTATAACAAACAAACAAACAAAAAGTAAGAACTACCCTCCAACAGGTGGCAAAATGCAAGCCCAACAAACGATCCAAACTAAAATGATCTTTAGACTGAATATAACTAATACATAAATAGTCTCTGGTCTTAATGGAAATAGACTCTTTGAAGACTTCTTTATTTAAAAAAAACCTTCAAAATTTAATTGCACACTTTTACATTAAGTATTAAGAAAGCACTGTTTTCCCAACAAGAAATACCAAGCCATATGGTACAAGCATATTTCATACATTCATTGCCAAATATTGAATATAAGCAAAAATGACCACTGTGAACATCTCCAGTTGAGCATAAGGCAGAATGACAACTGTGAATATCTGCAATATTTATTTTGCAAATACTACTCCTTTTCTCTTTGTAAATGAGTTGTTAATATGTAAGGTTTATTTAAAAGATGGGCCATGTCATGATGCTATCCTGGTTTCATAACCTGTAGAGTTCAGTAGGTTGGAGAGCCTTCCAGCAGAAGGAGTTGGCTTCCAAATCTCTATTATGTTTCCTAAGAAAGGGGTCAGCTGAGATTCCACAAAGTGTTTGAGGCCGATTTGTCTTATGTGCCCTGCCACTTGTGTACCCTTAGGCAAACTGCATAATCCCAGAGTGCCACCAGAAAGAGAGACTGGTAAATTATTTTTGAGTATCTTATATGTGGAAAATCTTAGGACTTTCATCGTAAGTTGGAAACAATCTGATTGCCTATAATGCTCATCCTCTGTGAGGCCCAACTTATTCAATGGAATTTATTTAACTGTTGACTTGCCATTCAGCAATTGATTCAATTTACCTACCTTAGATGGAACCAGCTATAGGATACCATCGCAGTGACAATGCATTGCAAGACCACACATAACCTTACAGGCATGTTATTAAATCAGCAGATATTAGGAGCATGGCTAGCAGGCCACATGAGGTTTGGGGCTGGGCCAGTATTATTGTTTTCTCTCTTCTTCATATATGTAGGACTAACCAGATGATAAACCCACCACATATTTTTCCTCCCTTAAAAGGCAAAAAATAAATTTACACATACATTCCAAATCTCCGTATGTTGCATTTAGAATGCCTTGTCTGGTGACTGGTTACTGAAAGGTAAACAGGAGTTTATTTCAAAAGTCTGATTGCTGAGACATACATCATGTAAGAATAAAAAGGAATTTCCTTAATATCTACTTTCATACAGAGTGTACACGTGCAGGGGACCATATGAAAAAGACAAAGCACTGATGAAGACCTAATTCCAACTTCAGTCTAAGCCCCACTCAAGAAACAGACTGTCACTTGTCATCTGTGGCTCCATTTGTCATCCATGGGGCTCAATTTCCTCCATATTTATCTTCTTCCAGACAGCAGGATATTTATGTAATCCCACAAATTTTAGAGCAAGTCACTGAGAATGGAACCAAATATTTTCATCTGAGTAGCTCTAATCTGGTGTTGTGTTTTCAGGTCACATAAAGCAGTAGTGTAGAAGTCAGGAATTGCCTTGATACACGTCTAAGTACTTGCTGATAATCCTGTTGCAGTTTTTCTATACGTTTATGGAACAATAAACAAATGGATTGCAAGGTAAGATTGGTTCTAGGGTGGTGTTTCTGGCACTCACTTCACAAGCACTAGATCACTAAGAAAAAGATATTGATTTCACTAGCTTGTAAAGCATCATTTCTTGCAGGTTTTCCAAAGCATATAGATGATCCAAGATGAAACAGGTGGTCTGGTGAGAAGGGCTGCGAAGTCTCATATTTTATTGGAATTCCCCTACTGCTTTCATCCATCATAGTAATACATATCTTGGTGCTGCACCCAGGAATGCCTGAAACCATGCAAGATAAGCAAGAGACAGCGCTTGATGGATAACATGAGAATAATTTGCAGCACAGCACTGATTTGCCTTCAACAGCGCATAGTGACAACAGCTACAGAAAACACTTAGAAAAGCTCCAGTAGAAGATAATAAGTAAAAACTCTGAGTTCATGATACAAATATGCATGGAAGCTACAACATAAAATCCTACTCCATAAAACTACAAAAAAAATGCTTAAGCAAACCCATAACTTTGTGTATCTTATCCCTGAGCTACTATTGTATTTCCATTTAGAACTTTTATCACTCTTTATACTATCACCCAGATATCAGAGCTGCTTCTATATCAGGCAGGTGGAGCGGTTGAAGCTTCTGCATCATCCTTGACAAATCAAGCAGTCAATATCTTGCAGTGCCATCTATTAAGTGAAAGCCCATTACAGCTGGAGACTATTGTATTTCAGGAGTGTAGGGTTGCACTACTTTAGATGGCTCTGCTGCAAACAAAAGGCATTTAAGATAGATTGCAACTGGATCATCCTTACTTCTACTGCAGTCTACCTATAAATGCTTCTCCTCTGACCGCATCTCAATATTGCATGCAGTTGCTAAGGAGCCAGCTCAGTAGCACCGACACAAAGTCCTTGGCAACAACCATGTGTGACCCTATGCTTTTTCTTGCTCAGTGAAATAGGCTTCAGACCTTTAAAACCCTAGACGATACCTCCTATCTTCACAGCAATGTTAGATGAGAATGATGGGGCATGTATTCCAAACAGTTGGAGATCATCTTGGTGGAGAAGGCTGCCTAAAGCTCACCTCTGATCTGCAAAACAGGATCCATTTTAAAAAAAATTTACTGTGTCCATTCTTCTTTCTGTCTTTGTCATCTTCCCTTCTTTCTATCTCCTTCTTCTGTCTTTCTTCCCCATAAGCCACCCTTCTCTTTTAAAATTACACTTTATTATTTCTCTTTGGCACATATATATGAAATTGTGATTATAAAACCAGTTTAACTCATTGAAGATCAGGGTACAAGGTACTGTGACATACAACTGAAGTCAAGTGCTCCACAGCATTTCACAAGAAAATGCAAATGAATGCTTGGTTTGGTGATCAGTTAAAGGTTATGGATAACCATCACCACTTTCCCACATTGTCTAGCCCCAATTCTTTTCACTTTTGGCATGTTGTGACATACACAAGAAAATTGTTTCAGCAGCCTAGTTACATTGCTGCTCAATAGACATTACAGATCAAAGAAACAAATGTTTCATTTCCCACCACCCATCTTATTTATCTTCCAGTATCAGCACAGGCTACCACTTGCTCCAGATAAATGACACAGTGGTGTGATTTACATTGCCATGGATTTTAAAATGTCACATGGAAGCTACTTCGCCTCTTAGGGTTCTCTGTTCCAGTCTAAACACACCCAACTCCCCAAACGTTATCCATAGAGCTTGGTTTCCAGACTTTTTACCCACTTGCTTATTCTCCTTTGGAAGAAATCCAGCTGGTCAATATGCTTCTTAAAATGGTGGTGTCCAAAACCAGGCAGAAACCAGAAACCTTGTGGGACTATACAGTACTCTGAAGTAAGTGAAAAATCATAAATTGAAGCAGTGAACTAACAACATGCCATTTGCATGACCGGCACACAACTAGCTGCAATTTGCTGTCATAACTTTCATGACTTGACTCACTCTGGAGTAAAATTCCAAAAGGATTCTGGCCATGACAGTCAAAGTGAGATCAGACCAACGTAGAGTGGAGTGGCATAATTACTTCCTTTGATCTGGACACTACATTTCTGTTAATGCAATCTGGTACTATGCTTGCTCTTTCTCTCACTACATCACATTGCTGATTCATGTTTTGTTTATGGTCTAATAAGACCCCCAGATCCTTTTCACACATACTACTGCCAAGCCAGCTATCTCCTAATATATATTTGTGCATCTGTTTTTTTTCTGCCCAACTACAGAATTTCCCTTTTTTCCATATTGAAACTCATTTTGTTTGTTTTGACCCAGTCTTCTTTCCTTCTTATTTGTAACAGAGCACTGCACAATTAAAGTGCAACACTTCTGGAAGTGAAGGATTGTCTAGCTGCATGCCGTTGTCCAGAGAATGCCCGAGTGTACTCATAATGCTTTTCCACCCAGTTCTCTAAGTTGTTAAGATCCCCTTGAATCCTGATTCTGTCTTCTGAAGTACAGTATTAGCTACTCTCTCAAATTGGTGTCATCTGAGAATGTGATGAGCACTGCTTCCCCCAGGCTCATCTTATCAATTTATAAACATCTTGAGCATCAAAGTCCCAGGACAGAACCTTGTTACACCTCACTTGTCTGTTGTCAGGATGATGATGAACACTCTGTCAAGATTCTGGCCATGACAGAGACACCAGGACCCACTGACCACTCAGCCACCCTACCCTTACTACCTTTACTCTGTCGGGTATGGGTATGGGTGCTTCCAGGAGTTGTGCTGCTGGTTGGGGAAAATCTTCCTGTCAGACCCTTCTCCCAGCTTTGCTAGTCTAACTGCTCTTTCAGTGCCTCAGGGAATTGCCAAATATCACAAACCTGCTTGCTTGAGCCAGCATGCCAACCTTGTAAGGTGTAAATACCAAACTATTCACAAGATAATATAATCTTAGAACTGCAGAATTGGAGATGAAGCAAGACACCTTCTTTGAGTACCAGCAATCCCATTTCTTTTTTGAATTATCAAACAGCTGGATAAACCTAATTATTTTATTGAAGATGATGTAAAAATAAATAAAATTCAAAAACAAATTCAAAACTTCAAGGATTGCAAGAATCTGATGTGAATCCGTAACTAGGCAAGTGAAATATAAGACACTAGGCAGCTTGATAATATTCCCCAGAGGAAAAAAAAGAAAATCTAACTATCCTGTTTGAATACTTACATGCAATGACATAGTTCCAGAGCATAAGCAAAGTGCAGCAGAATAACTGGTGAGCATAACATTCTCCTGAGAGAAACCAGGTTGACTGCTCTATTGTTCTGAGCCTTTTTTAGGCTCCTTTCCCCATTTTAGATCTTTGGATCCCAGTCCACCAATCAAATTCTAAATTATGCAGAGCCTTCGAGAAAGGAGTAACGGCTCCGAAAGTAACTTAACTTGCTTCACTCTTCCCCCACCCTCCTAGCACAGCTGTACCAGGTTTCTTCCAATTGGTGTACCATCCTGGGAAGGGACAGCTGACCTTGGGCTTCATAGATAACACACAGCTGTAAATTGTCTCTAGATTAACAGCCTTCCTCCTCCCCTGCCTTCCACTTCTCTCAGGCATCAGTTTTAACAAGGCACTTGGTGGTGGTTAACCCTCAGTGAGCATTCTTTGGGTATGGCCCATATACGTAACAGCATCTAGCTTACATTTTATCAGCATGGCCACAAGAAAAATATGAAGGGCTTTGTCCAAAGCCTTCAAACTGCAACATGCAGTGAAGACTCTGCTCACAACCTGCGTTTGGTCTTGGGCTCAGGTGCTGGTTTGAGGTTAACTCAACCTTCCATCCTTCCAAAAAGCCTTCAAACTGCAATATGCACTGAAGGCTGCTCACAACCTGTGTTTGGTCTTGGGCTCAGGTGGCTGGTTTGAGGTTAACTCAAACTTCCATCCTTCCATGGATGTTAAATTGAGTACCCACCAATGTGTGGCCTGCATAATTTGGTTGTTAAATTAAGTACCCACCAATGTGTGGCCTGCATAATTAAATTGTGAACTGCACAGAGAGTGCTCTCTAAGCCAGTGGTTCTTAACCTTTGTTATCAGCATGGCCACAAGAAAAATATGAAGGGCTTTGTCAAAAGCCTTCAAACTGCAATATGCACTGAAGGCTGCTCACAACCTGTGTTTGGTCTTGGGCTCAGGTGGCTGGTTTGAGGTTAACTCAAACTTCCATCCTTCCATGGATGTTAAATTGAGTACCCACCAATGTGTGGCCTGCATAATTAAATTGTGAAGTGCACAGAGAGTGCTCTAAGCAGCACACTTTGCCTTTGCTTTGCTGTGTACTCAAGATACTCTGCAACCACAGCAATGCTTTTGTCTACCAAACTTGTGACTCCATCAGAAAAGATGGAAAATCAATCTCACACAACTTGCTTTGAACCCAAAAGCATATTTATTGTCCTACTGTAATTTTTTTGTTCAGACTCATATTATTCAGCTCTTACCTTTGTCGCTAGAATTAGAACTGCACAGTATCCTAAATATACTACACTACCAGTATAGTACCAGTTTGTTAAAATCATCTTGAATCCTGATTCTGTCTTCTGAAGTATTACCTATCCTTTCCGGTGGGTGTCCTCTGACTTTTGGCAACTCTTTGAGGTACTTCAGGAGCAGTTATACTCATGGTGCTAGATGAAGAGTCACACAGGAAGATTTTCCTCAAACAGCAGCACATGGTACCCTCCTGGAAGCGTCCATACCAGGCACAGTGGGGGTAGCGTGGTGAAGAGGTCAGTGGGTCCTCTCTGTTGTGGCCACTAACTGGTAGTTAGTGGCTGCTGATGTAGCAAAAGCATGGGATTGATTTATGCGACTTTCATATTCATCAATTCTTGTTTTAAATTGCCCTTATTTTTTCCCTGCAGATATCCTGCTATTAATGTTTCTGAACACTTCAAATAAACATATAAAGCTATCCTTATGTAGCCATCCTTATGAATACTTTTCCATATCTTCACAGGCCAATAAGACCAGTGGTGATGTCATATGGTACACTATCTTGGGCCAAAACAGCATGGGTGTTTTCTTAAAAAGGCTACCTATGGAGCAGCATGGTGTCTCATAGTGGATGGTGACCATGAGAGTAGATCTTGGTACCTCTAGTCCTCTGCTTAAAAATTTGTGTTGGACATATTCCAATTTTTGTAATATTTGAAAAATCTGACACTGGAGCTCCATAGAGCATCTGAGGAAGGAGTTTTTCATTACACAGTTGTATTAGTGGTGCCACCATTGTAGAGCATCTGAGGAAGGAGTTTTTCTTTACACAGTTGTATTAGTGGTGCCACCATTTTCCACCTGGTCCAAAAGAAAAACAGTAAATGGCATTCACAAATGCCTCTACTGAAAGAGCTCCAGTTTCTAAATGGCCTGATCATGTTTCTGAATCTTTGAATGTTATTCCAAGGTATTTGTATGAGTTGATCTGTTTGAGCACTAGCCATCCTTATGTTTTTTGCCTACTACATAATATACGTAACATGAAAGTTTAAGCCATTCTTCTTTTCTCCACCTCCAGCCCCCAAATCCAAATACAAGCTACTTAAGAAGGTCAAATATAGATGGTGGAAAAATGTTACCCACTTTGTAGAAGAATGCTCTAGCAACCAAAAATTGTAAGCTAAAAGCAATTCTCAGAGCATCCAGCTGACTGGGTTAGAATGTACCAGGTCAATTTACATATTGCTGCCCTTGTTTATTTTGGAGAAATATTAAAATAAATTAACAGTAGATTTTCACTCTGAGCTTTCATTCACAGCTGAACTAAATTAAAAGAACCATCCTGGAATTTAAGTGACAGCTGTGTAAATGCAGTAGTGCTCCAATAATTAAAATTTTCAATATATGATCTAAAGACACGGGATCTACTGATACACAAACATAGTAAGAAGAGATTCTAATGATAATTTCTGTACCATTTATAATATTAAGCTCACGTGCAACATGATAAAACATGATAAAGATAATGATTTAAACTGAAGAATAATTATTATCAGAATGCTAAACGTTGAGACTTATCACCACAGATGGATCCTCCAGAGTTTCTCTCTGCCTCACTTTCAATGCAATCAGTTGCTAATTTAAACTCCCTAGACTCAACTTCAAATAATAGTGTATCTCTAGTTAATTTTCCCTTCATTGAATACTGACATTTAATATCCTTTATGGTTCTTTGATACATTAAATTTGATTGTATTCAAAGAGCATTTCAGATACATCCTCCCAGTTAGGCAGCTCAGTTGAATGAAAAATACAGTGAGTAGGGAAGCAAAAGGTAAAGCTAAGAAACGATGGTGGTGGGGAAATGAGCTCTACTTTCTGGCACAGGAAGCTGCCTTATACCAGTTAAATGCCTTACCATGTCCTTCTAATCTAGTGTAATATGCTCTGACGTTTCTCAGTCTTTGACTAGCTCCCATAGACCACAGCTACGTATTATAGCCAGTGTTTAGAAAGGCTGGAAGCTGAAGTCCAAATCATTTGGAAGACCAAGGTTGAAAAACAGTTGTCAAGTGTTCTTAATTAGAAGCAACATTTACAAGATCTTCAGGACAGAGACTTTTCTCCTGTGTCCCACACAATTAACTGTTATCAGATTCTTCCAGAATAAGAATAGAGATGTCAGCCTGCAAATACATATGCTCCACATTTTTGCTCTACTTTTTCCCTGGGCCCAGTACAAAAATTCCCCCCCTCCACATTTTGCAATTACATTCCAAGTATGTTTAAATCTGCACATATATTAAAATGTTCTTATCCTGCCTGTCTACTTAAGAACTAAATATTCACAACATATTTAAAAGATCAAAGCAAAAACTACCTACACTATAAAAATAGTATCAAAAGTAACAGAATAAGAGATGTGTCAGTAGAGAATCACAGACTAAAGAAATATATAATTGAATGAGCAAGGGGAAAAAAGAGTACAGGTTTTAGCTGAGTAAAGTAGAAGCTCATCAAAGAAGAAGACTATTAAGAAAGCAGCACAATGCCATTAGAGAGGAGAGGTGGCAAAAAAAATAATACTTCGGGTCCACAGATGCTGGACAGTAGCCCTCTCACACCATCTTCTGGGACTGCTTTTCCAAGTAATGATTGGAGCCTACCATCTTATGCTAATCATGGCTAGGCAGTCTGGAAGGACATCAGTCAGAGAAATGTCTAGAAGAGGTCTTCTAGGAGGCAAAGTCCTTCTAGATAAAGAGGAACCATCAGAAAACACACTCATCTGTGTTGAAGGGAATGTCCAGATAGGTATATAAAGTGCTATTGGTACAATTTAGTTTGAACCAAACTACAATGTCCACGCATTTCTCCTTAAATCAGTGGTTCCCAACCTTGGGTAACCCAGGTGTTCCTGGACTACAACTCACAGAAGCCTTTACCACCAACTGTGGTGGCCAAGGTTTCTCAGAGTTGCAACCAAGAACATTTTGGTTACCCAAGGTTGGGAACCACTGATTTAGATCAAGCCATCCTGACCCTTTAAGAGTTGCCCCACTCTTTTCTGACCCAGTACTAGAGGTGTCTGTTTTGTTTAGGTTAGGGAGGGGAGTTTTTTGCTACAATTCAGCATGCTCCTAAATATTCCATCCTGTAGCCTGTGTGGATGGTTATTTCACACCCAAATGGAGCTATGGATGGCATCATCTGAAATGGCTACCCTGTGATGTATTAGACGGGTTATGACTAGAGATGGAGGTATTTGTATTTGCATACAAATACCCCTGCACAGCTGGATGTAATGAGGTTCCAGCTCCCTGGGGCTGGACTGTCCACTCATGCATCCACCACCGGTACTGGCTCCACTCTCCCTTCCAAGAGCTCCAGAGCTTTTGGTCTGCTATCCGCTCATCAATCTGGCAGGGAGACTCATCTTCCCTCCTTCTGCCAGGAGTGGATAGCTGAATGCAAGTTCCAGAATGATTGGAAGGGAGAGAGGAGCCAGCAGCGGATGTGTGAATGGACCCTCGTTATGTCCACTCCGGAATGATTGGAAGGGAGAGAGGAGCCTGCAGCAGCAGTGGATGTGTGAATGGACCCTCGTTATGTCCAGCTGTGTGGATGTAACATCTCTTGTTGTTTAGTCGTTAAGTTGTGTCTGACTTTTCTTGACCCCATGGACCAGAGCATGCCAGGCCCTCCAGTCTTCCACTGCCTCCCGGAGTTCAGAAAAATTCATGTTAGCAGCTTCGATGACACTGTCCAACCATCTCATCCTCTATTATCCCCTTCTCCTCTTTCCTTCACACTTTCCCAACATCAGGGTCTTTTCCAGGGAGTCTTCTCTTCCCATGAGATGGCCAAAGTACTGGAGCCTCAGCTTCAGGATCTGTCCTTCCAGTGAGTACTCAGAGTTGATTTCTTTCAAAATGGATAGGTTTGTTCTCTTTGCAGTCCAGGGGACTCTCAAGAGTCTCCTCCAGCACCACAATTCAAAAACATCAATTCTTTGGCGGCCAGTCTTCTTTATGGTCCAGCTTTCACTTCCATACATCACTACTGGAAAAACCATAGCTTTGACTATGCGGACCTTTGTCAACAAGGTGATATCTCTACTTTTTAAGATGCTGTTGAGGTTGTCATAGCTTTCCTCCCAAGAAGCAGTCTATTTGCCTTCTATCTCCCACATCTCTAGTTATGACATTAAAAGGGACAATGGAGAAACCCCCTCCTCTATTTTCTTCTTCCTTTAAAAATATTTCCCGGACTGATGCACTGCAATTC